TGTGTGTGTGTGTGTGTGTGTGTGTGTGTGTGTGTGTCATGGGCAGGTCTAGATCAGTATCCAGTAAGGGTCTTAGTAATGTCTTCACAGAGGCTCTGTCTCCATGCAGCTGCTTGCTCTCACCTGAAGTATGAGATTATCACCTGCCCACTGAATCAACATGCTCTCCTGCTACACGGAGCCTATTCGTACAAATGTTACCAGGGTTCTGGTCACTTTTCATCTGCTACATTGAGAAGCCTGAGCTTATCTGATTCATCTTTGGATGCATTCAACAAACCTCTCACATCTGCCTACCATGTGGGTGCATGGAAACGGCGAAGTGTGTGGTGAATGGATGGTCACTAGTCACTCAGTGATTATGTCTCAGTAACTCGTCCTTGTCCTCAGCAGTCATCTCTCCAGTGCCCACCCCAGCCTCCATGTACACAACGTGGCTGGCACGTCCTTTTAGTGACTCACGGGTGATCTCCCACACAAGACTCTCCCTAGATGGGGATGGGTTTCTTTCCATCACATGCCTCTTAATTCACTCCCGTACACCATGAAGGTCACTGCCTTGAGAGAGCCATGCTCTGGAGGGAGCCTTGGGCCTAGCCTACAGAGCCAGGGACAGGAGGTGTTTTCAGAGCACTGCAGCTTGCTGGTGTCATGTTTGTGTTGGAAGAGGAAAATGTTTTCTAATAAAATGTTTTTGTCTTGTCTTTTAGCTTACATTTTACTATGGAACTATAGATGCTTGGTGTCCAATGGAATACTATGAAGACATAAAGAAAGATTTTCCAGAAGGAGATTTTCGACTCTGTGAGAAAAAAATACCTCATGCTTTTATCCTCCATTTTCCCCAGGAAATGGCTGACATGGTAGCTGACTGGCTAAAGGATGATCTGTCCAAAATATAAGTACTGGCCCAGAAACATCACTGACAGCTAATACGTAGCAGCAGTGCTGTACCTTCTCTTAGTAGTTAGTAGTACCCTTCGTAGGCAAGTGTTCATTGTTAATGTTTGATATTAGAAGAGGAAAACAAAAAAGAACCTCTTGGCTTACTGTCCGCTCCCAGCTAGCTCCCCATACTACCAGCTGAAGTAAACACAATTGATGAAATACACCATAGGTTTAACAGCACATTTTCCAAGCCTCAGGGAACACAGTGATCAATGACCTAAACAAGACCCCTTCCTTATGTTTGCGTGAGATATGCCAGTGGCGCCAGGCAGTTGATATTAGTAGGCAGAATCCTTGCAGACAAAAGGAAGTCTAAGTTTAGCTGATTTTAATCCAGTTACCATGTACAGTAGGCTCTCCTAGAAGAAATTACGAAACACCTACTAGAAAATGTGAAAGAGATCAGTGAATGTGAAGTGTAGAGTCAGATATATAAGCGTATGAGATCATGAGGACACGCAGTCCAGTAGCAGGAAGTGATGCGTGGTGGATCTTGGAAGTGGACCTGGGTCTCCCTTAAAGGCAGAAGCTGAAGATCAGCCCGGACTAACTTTGTACAGGTCTTGGCTGAGGTCATCGGAATCAGGCTGGATACCAGCACGGCCTCCGTCACCTCCCCACTCCCCCTCCCACCCTGTTCCCACCTTACAGCGTGTCATGAACCACAAGCAGAGCTGACATCAGGGCGGGAGGCACCACTTGTCTGCATCTCCGAGAAGGTCCCCCGAGGAGTGAGACTTCCTGATCTTCCTGCATTAGACAGAGAATAAAGTTCACCAGACATTCCTTTGGCAAAGGAACCCGGTAAGAGTTGTTGAAGGATCCTTACTGTGCCTCCTGCCACGAGACAACCAGCAAGCTCTGTGCTGAGCCCTAGGCTGCCAGGTTGTCTGCTCCCTGCAGGCTCCTCTTGTGCAGGGCCAGGATGTGGAGGCCCCGGGTGTCCCAAAGCCAGCCTGTACCTGTCTCCTGGAGTTGCCTCTGCTGTGATTTTTCCAAGAAAACTACATTGAGGGCAAACCATGAGCCAAATACTATGCTAGGCATCAAGGACCAAGTTCTTAGCTATGTCATGATTTTTTCTTCTGAAAATCTTCCAGTAAGTAATTTTTGAGAGGGCATCTTTCAGTCGCTGAATAGAGAATTACCATAAATGAGTTCTACATTTCTGCCTTGGTTTTGTTAGTTGGAAAGAAATTGTTTGACTACTGAACCAAAGCAAGCCATAATGAATTATGTGACTTCACCTTCTCTGGATGCCTTGAGGTCCAGTAGAGAAGAAGCTTGTTCTCCAGCTCACAGTATTTTTGCCTTCCCTAAAATGACTCAATCCTGGGACCCTAGGGGCCAGTAATTCCCACTGACAGCAGTGCTAGTTGACAATTGGTCAGAAACATTCAGTTTTCTCCTAGAGGAGACCCCTCATGGTGTTACCATTCCTTAAGAACAATAGAATGTTGTCCTTCCTTTCAAAGCCTAAAGCCCCGATGAAAGATCCTGCTCTGATATGCTGCCAACCCAGTGGTGAGTGTTGAACAAGTTACTGTCCCTTGGCATGGCTTCTGCATCCAAGCAAATGACTTCTCAGAGGGGAAGAGCCAAACCCCAGGCCAGGAGTGCTCTTGGCCCTGGAGAGAAGCCAGGAGACACACCTTGGCACGGGGCTGTACACAAAATCCTGATCGGCCTCTGTGTGGGGAGGCCTTCTGGAAATCTGATGTTAGAAGCTTAGGATTCATGGCTCTGGAGTGCCTTGTGTATAGAAGATGCTCAGTACTGACTTGAAGCACTCGAGCAAGTCCTGGGTGAATCACACCTACTCAAAGGATAACACCACCCCAGCTTTTCTTTCTGCATTATTTTATTTTACTCCATATTTCACAAGTCCACATGTATGACATTGTGTCTTATTTTAGTTTTTCAGAGCTTAAAAAAATGATGTAAAAGATATGGGTTTGTTTTCTGTTTATCGTCTGATCACCAAATAAATTTGCAAAATAAATGTTTTACCAGCATTTATGATGGCCTGGCCTGATTTCTGTGTTGGGGGAGGAAGGTATAATCTCAGCAGTCCTCTGAGTTAGACTCAGGCCAAAGTCTCTCTGTTAAACTGAAAAGCCATTTTCTCAGTACTTCTTTTAGAGAAGGAAGATTCCGATTTTAGGAGATTGAGGTTCATTTTATTTCATTAGGAATTAAACAAAACACTAAATGTTCTCATGCATGTGTATGAGGTAATGATACGGTATAAGAATTCTGGAGGCCTCATCATCTGATTTTTAGGCAACTTTCTCTAATTTTCCATGCCTCGGTGTCCTCACTTATAAGATAGGATTAATAATAAAGCATACCTCATATTGTTGGAAGAATTAAGTGGGATGATAAAATTAAAGCATTTAGTGCAATTCTTGGCCAAGAGTATCTTCTCAATAAAGATTGGCTATAATAATTATCATTATTAAACATCATCACCATAAAAAAGACTAAAATTGATAAGCAGTGGATGAAATTCATTTTCCAGAAGCATTTCTGCCTGTATGTACCAGTCAGCCACACAGATTGTCTTTGTCAACGATTTAGCTTTATAAGGGTTTATCTAGTGCTGAGTGAAAAGTCTAAGCTAGAGTCATACCCAGCGCCTACAGCTTGTTCTCAGGCTGCCCCGGGCCAGGGGACAGATCCAGAGACAGCTCCCGTGGCCCTCTGGACTCATGTCCGAGGTGGCTAGGGACCTCTCACCATCCACTTCACCCAACCCTTGGAGAGTCAGGGACCTCCAAAGCCTTGATTTCTCTTCACCCTACATTATATTAAAAGTAATTCCATTATTTTTAAAAGATTTATTCATTTATTTGAGAGACAGCTGGCGCAAGTGGGGGGAAGGGCAGAGGGAGAGAATCTTCAAATAGACTCCCCACTGAGGGTGGAATCCAACAAGGGGCTCAATCCCACAACCCTGAGATCATGACCTGAGCTGAAACCAAGAGTCAGATACTTAACCAACTGAGCCACCCAGGCGACCAAAATTAATTCCATTAAAGGAGACTAAAAAGACATGACAATGTAACACTTGATTCTGGATCAGATGCTTTCTTATAAAAGAAAACATTGTTGGGACAGTTTGCACAACTTGATCAGGGTCTACAGATGAGCTAGGAGTAAGAGATGAATGTTAATTTTCCAACTTCAGTGGTTTGTGAAGAGAATGTCTTTATTTGTACTGAAGACACACTGAAGTTTCTGGTGGCGATAAGGCATGTCATTTTACTCCAAATGGTTCAGAGAGGAAAGAAAATGTTCTTTGTACTTGGCAATTTTTTTATAAGTTTGAGATGAGTTTGAAACTCGTAAAAGCAATTTTTAAAAAGTCACCCTGCTCTGTCCTGCATCTGTGTCTCATTGCTTCTTTTCCAGAAAGTAAATTTCTTCTAAATAAGTAGAGATCTGAGTTCAAATCCTGGATCTGTCATTTACTGGGTTTGCGATGCTACATTGGCTTAGCTTCTCTGAGGCTCCCCGCCCCCCATCTTGTTGTCCATGAAAATACTTGCTTTCATTTTGGGATGTTAGAATGTTAGATTTGGGGAGGGTTTTTGTTTGTTTTTAATGGGGCTAATTGAGGTCATGCATAACAGCATCTAGCACCCTGTCTTATGGTAGATGTTCTGTAAAATGGTACCTGAAGGAAAGTCGAGCAAACTTTTGCTGTCTCGACCCGGTGATGTCTCAGCTTCGACATGGTTTCACCCAGCCTGCAACTTGATTCTTGCAGTCTTAGCATTTCTGGTTCCTTTGAGGGGTGGGGGGGTGGAAACGGTTGCTCACCTGGCTCAGCTTCCTGGCCCCAGGCCATGCAGGCCTCCCACATGCAGCGCAGGATGTGGGACCATCACCTTGAGGACCTTATGGTGGATTTAGAAAAGGTGCAGAAAGCAAAACATTTCTTAACCTGAGACTTCATCTTTGTCCTGGCCTTCTCTTGCAGGACAGAAGGGGACATCCTTGGGCTGCTCCGTCCCCTGGGAGGTGGGGTTTAAAGAGGGGTCAGTGGCGAACTAAGTGTGTCCTGTGAACAGATTTCTCTCCGATGCCTTAAAGCGGAAGCTGTCCTGCAGGAGTCCCTTTCCAAAGGGGCTGTGATTCCTGCCTATGCCCCGTAGAGATGTAGGCGAGTGAAGGCTCCGGTCCACGGGGGGAGCCGCTGTGGGACACGGGTCTGGCCTCCTCCACCAGACTGAAGGCTCTGGTTTGCTGCAATCCTGTGAAGAGGAAAGCCCCAGAGGAAGAGGGGAGGCGGCTGCTCCTAGTGCCAGAAAGACAGGGAGAGCTTATGTGGTGTGGGAGAGAGGAGAGAGCCCACAGAAAGAAGCTGCTGCCCGCCTGCCGCACTTCCAGTGTCTCAGTTAAGCCTTGCGGCCCTGTAGGCCATAGGTTATGGCCGTACTCAGGACAGACAGGTAAGTGACTGGCTCAAGATCTCACAGCTACTGAGAGGCCGCGGGAATTCAAAGGCAGCCTCTACTCAAGAGTAAAGGCTTCCTCCCCTTTCCACAGCACCGTGCTGCCTCCCGGAGGCAACGGTGGACAGCCCAGCAAGAGCGGAAGTCTGGACGAGGGAATCGAGGGAAGGGCAAATGAGGGCCAGGTTAGCAGGCCCAGCGTAGAGTAGCTAGTTGGTAACACGGGAATAGTTCTAGAAGAAGGAGGGAGAGAACAGACCAGCTGGCCAGGGAGGGGAGGATGGGGGGCGCAGTGCGTCAGGCAGAGGATCGCAAGGAGGAATGCCTGCCTGCAGGAGTCAAAGCGGAGGCCACCGTGCCTCATTGTGTCCCTCTGCTCCCCGCCGCAGCCGCTTCGGCCCTCCAGGTGCTGACCTCTCCGACCGCACCTGTGCTCTGAAACCTTAGGAGTCAACAGCTCCAGATCGGAGCGTGCCCACGCCCCTACCCTCCCCCGCCCCCAGACACAGCCCCAAAGGCCAACAG